CCTCCCCCAAGAGTTGGTATTGCTAAAACTGGTGAGGAACCATGTATTTTTCCCATGGCTCAAAAGCTCAAAAACCTACAGAAAACTCTTGATAACGAGAGAGAGAGATTTGAAACTGAAAAGAAAGGTTTTGAGCGCAACTGGCAGGAACTTCTCCAAAAATTTAATGATTTAAGTGAACAGTTTCATGCTAAAACAGACCCTTCTACGACCAAGCCTGACAGCTCACACACCTCACATGAGAAAAACAATGCTTTTAAAGGTTCGTCCACTCATCTCTCTTCTCCTTTGTTTACATGGAATGAAGTGAATAAAGAAGGAGAAGAGAAGAATGAGTGGAGGAAAAAGAGGAAGGAAATCGCAGATGGCAAAAAGAAAGTTTTTGAGAAAAGTGCCAGTCCTAGATCTAGTTCAATATTTTACTCAAAAGTTAATTGTAATTCTGTCTCTACAAAGCAAACTTCTAACAGTTCAATCTTGAGTCCCAAGCTGAATATTTCTGAGACATCTTCTAGACAAAGTTCTATTTATAATACAAGTGTTGCTTATGGTTATTCTGTTCTAGATCCCCATAATTATGAATGTGATATGAATGTTGTTAAATCTAAACCTTCCAGAAAGCTTAAACCTGAAAAAGAAACCAAGAAAGGAACTTCTAAGGGAACATTTTGTATTCCAGATATGAAATATGCCCTTAGAGTTCATTCTAGAAAACATGTTAATCGGCTTTCTAAGGAGGAGATTTTAAAAACCAAACTCAAGAAACAACCGTTCAATCACAAAGCACCTGTCTACTCTCCTCCTGAACCTAAAACGAAAAGATGGGTCCCCAAGATAAGACCCGTCAAAGCTGAAACGGAAAGGTGGGTCCCCAAGATGAGACCTACCAAACCTGAAACTGATAGGTGGGGTCCAAATCGAAGACCCATCATAACTGCAACTGAAAGGTGGGTCCCCAAACTTAGACCCAAACGGACTAAAATGGAAAGGTGGGTTCACAACATCAGACCCACCAAAATGGAAAGTGCTAGGTGGACTCCAAAAACCAGACACACTGCAAAAGCAGATCTGGCAATTGGAAAGCCCATCGAAGATAGATCTTTTGTTGAAAGAGCAGCTGACCTTGGATCACTGCTCAAAGCAAGTTTTAAAAAGGTGTTTCTTGATAATAAGGAAGGACCCACTCCAAGTTGGGTACCTAATCCTATTTGATTGTTTTGCAGGACGGTCATGTGTGGCACTTGGACTCAGGATGCTCAACCCACATGACCGGAATAAAGCACCTTTTGAGCAACTACACCAACTGCTACGGAGGAAATGTCAGATTCGGGAATGACGCCTCATCTCCTATCCTTGGGTATGGGGACGTCATCTGTGCCAGCGTTACAATAAAAGATGTTTCATTCGTCAAAGGGCTCAAACACAACTTACTGAGCATTGGACAATTCTGTGACAGCGGGATGGAAGTGAGGTTCTTTGCAAAACAATGCTGTGTTCTTGACAGCACAAGGAATACATTATTAACGTGTTACAGAACATCAAATCTGTACACTATTGATCTGAAAAGCGTCCAATCCACCACTTCCACCTGTCTGCTGTCCAAAGCCTCAACTGAACAGAACAACCTATGGCACAGACGTCTCTCCCATCTGAACTTCAAACATCTATCAACTTTGTCCTCCAAGAAACTTGTCAAGGGGCTTCCTCTGCTAAAGTCTTCCGCTGAAAATCATTGTAGTGCCTGCAAAATGGGCAAAATGACGCAAAGCTCCCACAAGTCAAAATCTGAACCTTCATCTACTCATCAGTTGCAGCTAATACACATGGATCTGTGTGGACCTATGAGAGTTCAAAGCATCAACGGTCGCAAATACACTCTGGTGATCGTTGATGACTTCTCTAGGTATACATGGACAAAATTTCTACGATCAAAAGACGAAGCTGCGGAAAACATTATGACCTTTATCAGAACGATCCAGAAACTGCTACAGCACAGTGTTCGAATTGTCAGAACTGACAATGGTACCGAGTTCAAAAATCAGACTCTCACTGAGTTCTATGAATCACTCGGTATCACTCAGCAATTTGCAGCAGCTAAAACTCCCCAGCAGAACGGAGTTGTTGAGAGAAAGAACAGAACCCTTGTTGAAGCAGCACGCACCATGTTAATCCAATCAAGACTGCCTCACTTCATGTGGGCAGAGGCAATCAATACCGCGTGCTTCACTCAGAACAGAACCTTCATCCACAAACGCTTCGACAAGACTCCATATGAGATCCTATTCAACAAAACTCCTGATATTTCTTTCCTCAAGGTTTTTGGCTGCAAGTGCTTCATACTCAATGATCGAACAGAGAGAAGTAAGCTGGATCCCAAAGCCAGAGAAGGCGTGTTCATTGGCTACTCACTGCAATCCAAAGCTTACAGAGTCTATCTCAGAGACAAGCGGACTGTCATCGAGAGTGTAAACGTTACATTCTATGAAATGGCAGACTTTGCTATTGAACATCTCCAGACCGATCCATCCACTGCTGTACCAGTAGCTTCTGATAAAGCTGAACCAAACACCGAACACGACGATGTGATTCTCGACTCTCTCTTCAGAAACTTTTACGAGAACTCACAATCTCCACCTCCTGCATACACTCCAGAGTCAACATCAACTCCAACAGTAGAGATTCCGCTCCTCACAGGACCAGATGACGTACCATCCACACCCTCAACCCCTCAAACCAATCCCAGAGGTGTGGATGATCACGGCTTTGCCATAAGTCCGGAATCATCTCCACTACACACCACAGCTGCCCCAGAGCCTTCAAATTCATATCAGGACTCAGATCAACCAATAATTACTCCAACTCCTCTAGCTCATGAGAGGAAGTGGACAAGAGCACATCCTGTTGAACAGATAATAGGTGATCCAAGTCAAGGTGTGCGAACGAGATCAGCAACAACAAATGAATGTCACTATGCATGCTTTCTAAGCAAGAATGAACCATCCAAAGTCTCAGAGGCACTCGCTGATCCAGATTGGGTGATTGCCATGCAAGATGAGCTCAATCAATTTGACAGATTAGATGTATGGACACTCGTGCCTAAACCCCCTCAGAAAACCATCATTGGCACAAAATGGGTGTTCAAGAAAAAGAAGGACGAAGAAGGCATAGTGATAAGGAACAAGGCACGACTGGTCGCTAAAGGATATAATCAGCAAGAGGGCATAGACTATGATGAAACATTTGCACCCGTAGCAAGAATTGAAGCAATCCGCCTTTTTCTTGCGTACGCGGCCCACAAGAACTTCACTGTCTTTCAAATGGACGTCAAGCACTCAGGTTTTGACCTAGTCGGATATTCGGATGCTGACTTTGCTGGTTGCCGGATGGACCGCAAAAGCACATCGGGGGCAGTCCAATTCTTGGGTGATAAGTTAGTCTGCTGGTCTTCCAAGAAACAGAACTGTGTGTCAACATCTACGGCCGAGGCAGAATACGTCGCGGCTGCTAGCTGTTGTTCACAAATATTATGGATGAAGACCCAGCTAAAGGACTCCGCCATATCCCGATCTACAGTGACTCTCAAAGCGCCATAGCCATCACCAGCAACCCAGTTCATCACTCCCGCACCAAACACATCGACCTGCGCTATCATTTCATCAAGGATCATGTGGAGAAAGGAGACATTGACATGTATTTTGTAAGCTCAGAGCTTCAACTGGCTGACTTGTTCACTAAGGCATTGGATGAAAAACGATTCCAGTTCCTAGTCTCCAAGTTGGGCATGTTGAACCTCGAGCCCGTTTAATTATGTTTCCACTGATCTAAAAAATGTGTGTATGTGTGGGACCTGTAAAAAGTGTGTGTGTGTGTGGGATTTGTAAATAGTGTGTGTGCGTTGCATATGTTGAGGGGGAGAAAACCAGAAAAATAACAAAAAATAGTGTGTGTGCGTTGCATGAGTTGAGTGGGTGAAAAATCAAAAATAACAAAAAATAGTGTGTGTGCGTTGCATGAGTTGAGTGGGTGAAAAATCAAAAAGAACAAAAAATAGTGTGTGTGCGTTGCATTTGTACATTTTGTTCGTTGCATTTTTTGAGGGGGAGAAAATTTTCACTGTTTGAGGGGGAGCTAATTTTCACTGATTAAGGGGGAGCTCTAAGTTTTTTACTGTTTGGGCCTCGAAAATCTTTTAAAAGGGCACTGTGTCAGCCCAATCATTCGGGCTCAACTTTACGAAGGAGGTCCATATTTTTCTCGCGTATAAAAGCCTCGCAAAAGCCCTTCTCCTTCTTTCATTCTGATTTTCTTAAAGGCAAAAACTTTCTCGCTAAGGTAGAGCTCTCAGACCTTTCTTATTCTTCCCAACCTTACGATCTCGCATCCCCTTCTCTCTTTTCTTATTCTCGACATTCCTAAGAAGGTAGTTACTCTTTGCTTGCGTTCAAAAACCAAAAGCGAACGATCGATCTCGAAAACCAGAAAACGAATGATTGATTTCGCGAAAAACCCTTGAAATTTCTCAAAATCAACATCAAATTAGTTTTTTTCGTATTGAATGTATGTCGAAAACGTTTGTTATCCTTTTGATATATCAATGTTTATGTTTTTGCAGGTTGTTTAATCTCTTCTCGAAATCGTTGGTTCATCTTCTCGAAATCAAGATCTCGAGATGGGCATCTCGACATCTTGATCTCGAGATTTGAATCTCGAAATCAAGATCTCGAGATCTGCATCTCGATATCTTGATCTCGAGATTTGAATCTCGAAATCAAGATCTCGAGATTTGAATCTCGAAATCATGATCTCGAGATTTGAATCTCGAAATCAAGATCTCGAGATTTGAATCTCGAAATCATGATCTCGAGATTCAGATCTCGAAATTTGGACTTAGAATTTTTTTTCCAAAAACTCCACCTGCATAAACTTATCTGACAACTAAATCAAACTCTTTCAATCAAATCAAACTGTTGAATTTCATATGCTGACCCCCTGCTTCTACAGTTTAAAATGGCAGGTAACACTACAGCACAGATCGATGATGCCATCTACTCCAAAGGGAAATGGATCAAGGTACTGGACAACAATTTCCAGCTAGACCTGGCAGTCTTCAAGTGCCAGAACCCAATCATTCCGGCCATAATGAAAGGTCACTATCTCTGGCCTGCACTTCACAACGCCAAACCAGTGCCAGAGATATACCTACAACAGTTCTGGGGGCACATGCACACAGATTCATTAAAGGATCGTTCCAAGATCAAGACCAAGTTGAACGGCATGCGGGTGATTCTGACACCATCCACTCTACGGACTACTCTATCGCGGCCGATACATGACGAATATGATGCACTGCCGTCCATCCCTGATCTGCTCAAAGACGTGGCATCCCTTGGCTACACATCACTACTGCCACAGCTCTCAAATTTCAACGGTGCATATCTCCGTCACCCGTGGAAAAATCTTTTCGGGCTAGTAAACAAGTGCCTGTCGCCGAAGCATGCCAGGTTTGACAAATGCAACAAGCAGATCCTGCTAATCTTTCATGGCATCGCGTTCAACAAGAACTACGATCTGGCTCAGCTCTTCTACTCAAAGCTAATGGACCTGGTCAAGGCCAAAGAAAAGAATAGGCCAGGTACCATTCCGTACGCTAGGTGGCTTGGGTTGATCATCAACGACCTCATGACAGAGCATTCAACAATACCAAGACGCAGTTCAGATCCTCACTTCACAGCACCGAAGCTACAGTACTTCAAAGCAGACAAGAATCCTTCCTATGGTCTGAAGTTACCTGGATTTCTGCTACAGCTGGTAAAATCTTCAAATCCAGCAGTCCAACAATACAAAGAAGCCACCGAGAAAACCGTCCCTATGGTTCAGCAAAACCCAGCTGGACCTACCCAAGGGACAAAGCTGAGTGTAAGTAAGGGTCCTAAGAGAGCCCAAAAGCCACAGAAACCAGTGGCCGGTTTGCCCAATGAAGGGAAGTCTGACGACTCTCTAGAGACGAGTCAGGCGGCTGAGGGCACCGAAAAAGACGCTGAGGATACGGCCAATGAATCGTCAAGTGAAGCCCAAACGAATACTGACGACGAGGCTTCTGAGAGCGTAGGCACGGAGAGTGAAAAATCTGACTCGGATGATGACGATGATGACAACGACAGTGATGATGTGGAGCTCACATATGCCCTTATCAGAAAAGGAAAGCTGCCCGTCGAATCTCCAAAGAAGAGAAGAATCACTGCTGAAGACGCAGCACCAATCATAGCTCGCAGACCTCAAGTCTTCACCATAAAAGAAACAGCTAAACCAAGAGCTGATCCGAGCGAGACTAATTGCTCAAAGGATGATTACGACGAGGCAGCTCACTCCATCAAGACATCAATCAACTAGGAAGAAGTTGTCATCCGAGAGACCAGGGCTAAGGTCAAAAATGACAAGGTTGCAAAGACCAAGCCCCAGCCCCGAGCGAAGAAGAGTCTGTTTGATAAGGCAGACGAGCACATCTTTGCGGGCTGCGACTCCTTTATCCAGATAAGCCGAGCCGAATCCCTAAGCACAGGAGCCGATCTTTTCGGTTCCCGAGTAGAAGTCGCAGCATCTGGCTCAACTGCGCATGCACAGCCCTCTCCCAGCCACTCAATTGCCTCTCACAAGGCTATTGTTTCAAAAGAACGGGACTCAACCCCCTCGCTGGTTCCTTCTGAATCAGTTGAGCATACAATTGACCTATCTCCCGAGGTCAAAACCCCTTCTTCTCTCACATCGAGTCTAGGTGTCACATTTCCCACATTTTCTTCCTTTTCTAGGACACCTACACTATTCACTGCACATACAGGTGCACTCACCCTGAACGCAACAACCAGAGCGCAAGCTATGACGGTTGGAAGCCCTGCTACGCCCATAATGATTCCATCATTAAATGCAGGCCACACATCAGCAATCTTCACTGATGCTGTGTCAACAGTTACAACCCCCGTAACTGGTCACCCTACCTTTGAAGACGTAAACGTTCTACTAAATCGCTTCCTAGATTCCACCATTAAACCATGGGTGCAAGATGCAATGACCGCTCTAGCACAGGAATTTAGGAACACCCAAGCGGTTCGGTCTGAACATACACCACCCCAACCTTCCCCTGAACCGTTCATCTCCCATACACAACCCATATCTTCCACCCCTCTATCCCACAAATCCATAAACCAAATTCCCATCCCTTCTATTTCTCGGGGAACCCAGAATACAGAACCAGTATTCTCCCCACACCCGACCACACCCTCCATTGATCTCTCCTCCCTATCCTTTGACACACTAGCTTCGGCTTTGCTGAACAATCTCTTAAATACCCCAGAAGACAACCTCACTCTTCATCAGCAAGCCATACTAGAAGCTCTTCTTTCCTCACCTGAAACCAAGAGTACTTGCAAGGAGAGTCTTCGTGGTCGCAAACGTTCCCATGAGGACCCCGATGATTCGGATCCTCATGAGGGGGAGAACAAGCGACCTCGATCACTTGAGCAAACTGCTCTACCAAGCCAAACTCCACAGCCAATTCAACCCGATACCTCAACAAACCAACAGCCACCATCCACAGCCAAACTATCTAGCATGGTCGAGCTAGAAATAACATCCCGAGGCGTATCTCCCAGAGATACCAACCGAGGAGGGGATGGAAGTCCTGATGATGTTACCACTGATACATCTTCTCCATCAGGCCATCAGTTGGAACCCAGTTCTAAGCTGATGTCAACGGGCAATCCTAGTGAACCCGGTAGTGCTACACAGGAACAATCACCGCCTATACAAAGAACTCCATATATTTCCCTAGGCAAAGACATCCATGATGCACTGGAAGAGGCGGTGATATACGACAAATGGCCGAGAAAATGGACAGAATGGGATGATCTCCGGGTTGAAGCCGAGCAAGAAGACATGCAAAGAAACTGGTGGCTACGAGAGCTGATCAACAAATGCTCTGAAGATATTATACGGCTCGAGGACGATGAACGCAAGGAAGGGGAGAACTACAAGGAATCCCAGAAAGCTCTTGAATCGGTCGTAAGACAATCAGCGGGAAGACTTCCCAAATCAGAGAGCATATCTGGCGTAGACCAGACAAAGTCAAGCCACTGAACGAACTGAAGCTAAGAGGCCTTACTCACTTGAAAGGAAAGCAGGCTGGAGGTCATCTGCATATGTTGCTGCAAAGGTCAACTGGTACACAGAGAGAACTAATGGAACAAGATCTGAAGTCGAATATTCTCCCGATTCATCAAATTCTACAAGTGAAGACTGAAGACTATCATGGAGTAACATTCTACAGTTTCAGACTTCAACGCACCGATGGGAGCGAATTCACTTGTCAAGAGAACGACTTCATCATGCTAAAACCGGATGACATCTACCAAATGCTCATGGCCTACAGATACCTTCCAGTCAGGCAGAGCATAGTATACAGCGAAGGCCTCGCAGCTATCAAGAGATTCATGCTTAGACAGATCAGAGTACACTCTTCACATGACCTACAGATGGCTATTGAATGCAATCTGAAGAAGACAAATCTGACAAAGCCAAAACTGTATGGTCCAGAACTTGAAGATTTCCCAGCCTACCACATCTTCTTCAAACCGCCAGCAGTCACCTATCTGAACCACAAGAACGAAAAACGTCTGATGGTAGTCAGTGAAATCGAGAAGTACTGCGACGGAACACTGAAGATAATCAGAGAGCAGATTCTACAGATGAAGGCAAAGCTGGAAGAAAATCTTCAAGAGGCATCGTCTTATGTTCAAAAGGAACACTCTACTGTAGAGACAATTTTAAAGGCCATTGACGATCGCCTCGAAAAGAGAAATATGCTAAGACAGTATGATAATGCACCTGGCTTGAGAAAGCACTACTTCAAATCACAGAAGCAATAAGAGAATGGCACTTGATCACAAAGGGGGAGATTGTTGGAGATATTTAATTGTGAATCAAGTTGGTCATAGATTAGCTTTATATTTAATCCTTGTATTTAAATAGTGCATAAATTAGATAGAAATCAGGCCAAGTGTTAGGCCCATTTAAACAGGCCAAAAGCCTGGTACGCCTAACCTAAACCTCGCCTATAAAAAGGGAGCCGAGGTTTAGGAAAAGGTTGAACGTCGTACTTATTATTTCATAGCCTTACGCTTATCATTCTGCTGTACGTTCCACGGTTTATCAAAGAAGGTTTTACGGTGATTCATTCTGTTCCATCTTTACGTTTAATCTTCCTTTGTTAGATCGATTATTCATTGGTGTTAAAGAAACAGAGACTAACAACAGTCATAGGTTCCATTTGATATATATAGCAGGCAAACATTGCTTCTCTTCTTGATGTGGATCTGGTTTGAACTCCACTTCTGATTTGACCAATCACTTGGTCAGGGGGGGTGATCTCTTAACCATGTTAGATCAGGTTCTGTCAGCTGCTGTCTTGGTCTCTCTGGTTCCTCATCTTCAGAGTCTTCATCTTCATTCAATAGAAGGGGGTTTGGTGCAGGTATTGGAAACACTGGATTAACTGTAACCTTTTCTGTCGGTTCAGGTATTCTATCTTCGATGTTGACTTCTTTGAGGGTATCTGTCACATCTTCAACAGATGTGCTGTCATCAAATTTTACATGTATGGATTCTTCTACATGTAGAGTTCTTCTGTTGAGTACTCTATAGGCTTTGCTAGTACTTGAGTAGCCTATGAATACTCCTTTATTAGCTTTCTCTTGAAAGACCTTCAAATGTTCCTTTCCATTGTTGAGAATGTAGCATTTGCAACCGAACACATGAAAGTAGCTGATGTTTGGTTTCCTTCCTTTCCAAAGTTCATAAGGAGTCTTCTTGTGATTCTTGTTGATCATGCTTCTGTTCTGGGTGTAGCATGCAGTGTTGATTGCTTCAGCCCAGTATCTCATTGGTAATCCAGATTCTGCAATCATTGTTCTTGCAGCTTCTTTCAAGGTTCTGTTCCTTCTTTCTGCTACGCCATTCTGTTGAGGGGTTCTGGCGGCAGAGAGTTGATGAAAAGTTCCATTCTGATCACAGAAGTCCTTTATGACTTGGTTGACAAATTCAGTTCCTCTGTCTGATCTGATTGTCTTCACTTTCAAATTCTTCTCAGTCTGAAGTTGCTTTAACAGAGAGGGCAACTTCTGAAGAGTTTCATTCTTCTTTGACAGAAAGATAGTCCATGTGTATCTGGAATAGTCATCCACTATGACAAGTGTGTATCTTTTGCCACTTACACTCGGAGTTTCAACTGGTCCAAATAAATCCATGTGGATCAGATTTAAAGGACTAGTAGAAAGATCTCCAGCAATAGGTTTGAAGGAATTCTTCACTTGTTTGCCCTTCTGACATGCACTGCAGAGGGTCTCCTTTTTGTACACAATGTCTGGTAGTCCTTCTACAATGTGTTCTCTGGCCAGTTTGTTGATTGTCTTGAAATTCAAATGGTTGAGCTTTTTGTGCCAGTCCCAGCTTAACTTTGAATCTCCTTTTGCTATCAAGCACACACCATCTTTGGCAGTCTTCCAATCAACTACATAAATGTTCTTCTTTCTTGATGCAGTCAGAACCACTTCCTTTGTTGTCTCATGCTTTACATAGCAAAAGTCCTTGGTGAATTCTACAGTGTAGCCTTTGTCACAGAATTGGCTAGCACTTAGAAGATTGAACTTCAGGCCTTTGACATATGAGACATCATCAATGATTATCTGGTCCTTGATCAGCTTTCCTCTTCCTTTTGTTTGACCTTCTTTGTCATTACCTCCAAAGGTAACTTTAGGTCCTTTGCATTTCTGGAACTCTGTTAGGCAACTTCTGTCACCTGTCATGTGCCTGGAGTATCCACTATCAATAAACCATTCTTGTTCAGGGATAGCTCCAGCACACTGTTCCTGCAAAATTTAAAGAAAGATTTAGGTACCCAAGCAATGTTGGGTCCTAGGGGGTCATGCAGTCTTGGCAGCCGGTACCACTTTGGTCTCATCAAGTGAAACCTTGGTGGGTGGTACCCATTGTCCACCTGGTAGTCATAGTAAACCGAAGTGTGATTCACTTTGGGCAGATGCTTGTGAGGATCATGCTTGCGGTTTACATACTTCTGCATAGCCTTCTTGGTAGGGAAGAAGTCCCATATACTATCAAGAGCAGAGGGGCGGTTAACTTTGGGCTTCTTAAGTTGACCAGCCAACCTTTTCTGCCTAAAGTTAACTTTCTCTTGATATCTGCCTTTCTGGTGATCATCTCTGACAAGGTTATCATGAGTTTGTCTGTTATGGGTTTGTCTTTGATTTTTGGTATTCTGAAAACCCTTTCTGTTGTTAGGTTTTCTGCCAGGTTCATTAATTTTTAAAATGGGTTTCTGTTGAACCTTTATCTTTTCCTTTTCTGGTCTGACTTTCTCATGAATAACCTTGGTGCCAGATACACCAGCATGACAAATATGGCTAGAAGTTCGTGGCTCTATGACCTTATCAACCTTAACAACTTTGGTGCTTGGTTTTACAGAAGGCTCACCGGATTCTGTTGCAACATATCCAAGGCCAGAACCGGAGGGTAGCATTTGATCAATATTAACAGCCTTAAGAGAAGTTTGCATTTTCATAAGACTGTTAAATCTGACTTCCAAATGCTGAATATCTCTTATTCTGTCGAGAAGAGAAACATTTTCAGCTTTGACAGAGTCCCTTTCCATAGTTAAGAGATTGACTTTTACCTCAGTCTCTTTTCTTAAGTTAGAGAGTTCTATTTTTAGCTTACTGTTTTCTTCTTTAACTAAAGAATAAGTTGTTTGGATAGTTCTAAACTCTTCCCACAATGATGACATTGCATCATCATTTAAGGATGTGCCTACCGAAGAAAAACGAGAATTAGAAGAAGAGGATACCTCATCATCAGATTGAGCCATGAGGCATAGGTCTTCTGTCTCTGTATCTAGGCAACAGAATGCCTCATCAGAATCGGAGTCAGAACTGGATTCTGTCTCTGACAGAGGGTCTTTCTCGACGTGTTCTGTGACGAGCGCTTTTCTTCTTCTGGGATTGTCTTCAAACTTCTTCTTTTCTCCATCCTGTCCTTGTCTCTTGGAAACCCTTGGATGGGGGCAATCTGCCTTGAAGTGACCAGGTTGTCTGCAGTTGTAACAGAGAAGCTCTCCACTGCTCTCTGTTGGTTTGACCTTCTGGTATGGTTTTCTGCTGGAAGATGGGCTTCTTCCATCTTTAGGATTCTTCATAAACTTTTTGAATCTCCTGGCAAAGGCAGCCATATATTCGTCAGATAAAAGTATTGAAGGGTCAAAATCATTTACCTTAGATGTACTGGCTGTAAGAGCTGTAATGGTTCTCTCTTCTGGTACATCTTCCTTCTCTTCAATCATCTCGAACTCATGAGCTTTGAGATCAGAGATGAGCTTGTCTGTTGGATAGGTCTTCACATCTTTGCTGGCTTGGACAGCAACCACCTTCATCTTCCATGCAGAGGAAAGACCTCTCAATACTTTGAGGTTGATCTCCTTGGTGGTGAGTTCTTTGCCAAGCTCTGAGATCTCTCCAGTAAGGGTGAGGAGCCTATCATACATCTTGGAGATGGTTTCTCCAGGGAGAAGCTTGAAATCATCAAACCTTTTGTTGGCTATGGTCAGCTTGTTATCTTTCTCTTGCTCATCACCGGCCCCAATGAGCTCAAGAGTATCCCAGATTTCCTTTGCGGTTCTGCATTTCTTTATTCTGTTGAAGTATCTGTCATCAATGGATTTGTAGAGGATGTCCTTAGCAATATTGTCCAGGTTGTATTTTCTTCTCTCTTCAGTGGTCCATTCTGACTTGGCTTTACTGATCATCTGGGGTCTGGTGTTGTCAATAGCGTGCTCAGGATTGACCTTCTGGAAGCTTGTGAAAGGTCCAATGTCAAGAACTTCCCACATCTCATCATGCAGAGCACAGAGATGTGCTTTCATCCGGATCCTCCAGTCATCAAACTTAAGATCTGAAAACATAAGATTCTTGGCAAGAGAGTGATCCTTTATATCAGATAGAAATGAGGAAAATAACAGAAAAAACAAGTGGATCTTTGTTAAGTAAAATAACCTAAGAGATTATTAGAACAAGGAGGCTCTGATACCACTTGTTGGTCCCGGTTGTACTGGATACAGTCTAGAGGGGGGGGGGGGGGTGAATAGACTGCATTGGTTTTTAGCTTTTTAAACTAAGTACCAGATTTTACAGAATAGCCTGTTCTGTTGACAGAACAGACTGGCAGCGGATAAGGTTCTGTTAGGGGTTCTGTTGATTTAGCCTCAGAGAAGCAAATGCAGTAGGCCTTCTGTTAACTCGTAGGACAAGTTTTCCTGAACACAGATACCAAGTCTAAGGAGTTAGATAGTTCTATCTAAGTGCAAATATTAAAAACAGTAAGTAAATGACACCAGGGATTTTTATAATGGTTCAAGGAACAACGCGTTCGTCTAATCCACTGTTCCACTAAGATTGTAAAAACGATCGTTTACAACGCCTTAGTCCTAGCACTTAAGAAGCTCTCCACGTCTTCTTCAAGCCTAGATGTCTCCTGGGATGCACTGCCTGGCTTCCTTTAAGACTGGTCCTTTCACTGAGCTTCCCGGAAGTATCACCACTTCACTACTCCAGTTACTTGGACGTCCTTCTTGTAACAAGAAGAGTTTCTGTTGAAACAGGGGTTCCTCCAACTTGCTTCGTTACAAAAGATTTGTAGATGAAGTGCTTGAAGTTGTTGAAGAACTGTTGGAACCTTGCTCTTGTTGGATTTGATGATATGAAGGTATATTCTTTCCAACTTGTGTCTCTCTTGTTGAGGATGAAGAGTTTGAATCTCAAGAGGACCTTTTTGCCTTGAATAATTTGAATGTGCTTTTCTCGCAAAGGATGTGGTGAAGTTGGCAAAGTTAGCAAAGTTTTTTTGTTCCTTTGTTCTTCGAAGAGTATCTTTTATACTTAGGGTTGTCTTCCCGTTGGAGGTGAAGGAGGACAACTGCATTTAATGCGCGTGTTGTTGACTTGACCGGTTGGACCCACTGAATTCGGCGACTTGCTATTTTGAGAAGATTCTTTCCAAAAGGTTGACAATTATTTGCTTTAAATATCTTCTCGTACGTATCCGCATTAAATGAGCATTTAATGCGCGTACTGTAGCTTTTCCGTTGAAGTCTTCTAGCCGTTGGAGAATCTTCCGTTGATTTCGCCGGCTTGGAAGTAAACTTGAATTACTCTAAGTGTCAGGCCTTCTGGTCTCTTTATAAGAGTGTACACCAGAGAAGGTCATGAGCACTTCTGTTGTAACGGAAGTCAGCAGAGGGTCTCCAGTCCTTCTGTTCTGTTAGAGGCCAACAGAGGACCTAAGTGCTTCTACCTTAGTGAAGTCCAACAGAGAGTCAGGAGGACTTCTGTGAAGGCACTATCACCAGAGGGCCAAAAGGGCTTCTGTCTGGAGGTCTTCTGTCAGTCGACTATACTAGAACAATTACAAGGAAAATTCTAATACAAATTTTCTAAGGGGTAATTTCTAAAATCCTATAGCATCATCAAAATCTAATTACATTTATTCCTTACAACTGAAAACAGTCCAAGTTAAAACATCCTTATTTCTTAATCTATGTGTATCATACCATTTTTTGTAGTTCTCATAGTTTTGGTATGTTAGCTACTCGAGTTGTCCTATAAATTAATATTTTTATTTTTTATTTTCCGTTTTGGTTTCTATAAAACCTTGTACTAATAAATGAGGGTTCTAAATCAAACAATAATTATTTTTGCGACATTAATATACGTGGATTCTCACAATTAATTGGAATAGGATATCTGAATCTAGATTGACGTTTTAATCCAATCAGGATTTAATTGAAAAAAGTAAACAACCTCTAAATATAATCTTCCAAACTTTGCTCCCATAGACTGTTTGATTCTCGCTGTGTATATATTCTTTCAATGTTTATCTAACTTTAACATTTATGGGATCTTGATCTATCAGAGTCATCATGTTGAGCTAATCCTTGACCAAGAAGAAAAACAAAAAAATTACTCATCATCTATTTAATTAGTTCCCGAGGCACTACAATTCTCGATAAAATTGTTTCTATTTATATTTACTTTTTTTAAAAAATAAATAATAATGATTTTATAATTACAAAAGAAAATTAAATGAAAATAATTAATAGAGTATACAAGTATACAACCATTAAAAGTGAAAAGCGTTGTACCTGTGCTAAAAAATTTAAACACTATAAAATAAATTGGAATGGGATAAACATTTAATACGTAATTAAAGATTAAAAAATAGATTTTTGATATGAACAATGAATGATAATAATATTATGAAAATTATTAAACATCAAAAGAGAATGATATCCCAGATATGCACAAACATGTTGTTTTTTCTCAACCGTTTCCTCCTTGTTCTTAGCTATTTTTTTTTGGAATTAAAAATTATTAATAGGCATTAGCGGAATTGATAGAGTATATGGGTCCAGACCCCATGATTCACATACTCAGAAGACTAAGAGGAAGCACAGCTGGCACCCAGATGGTCCTCCGTCGGCCAAACGGTCCTCCATCGGCAAAACTCATATCATCCCAGAATATGGTCTAGAAGCCCAGGAGCTCAACATGGTCCTCCGTCATCCTGCCGCTCCATCGGCCATGGCACTCTGTCGGCCAAACAGACATCACAGAACTAGACTTCTATACTTAGTCAATATTTCGAATGTATTCAGCCCAACAGAGGTCTTATGTTGTAAATGGGCCTCCTAAGCCCAAAACTTGGGAGCCCAACCCATATTTTCCCTATAAATACCCCTTTTGGGAGTAGTTGTAACGGGTTGAGTAATATTAATTGCACTCTCTCTCTATCTATCACTTCTCTCTAAACTAATACTCTATCAGGAATTATAGTTAAACAAATAGTTAATGTGTGGACTAAAGTTTAAGAGCATCTTTAATGGGAATGTGAATTGCACCCCATTAAAAACGGACATGTCACATATGTAGACGGTCTATGAAGCTGAGATGGACAGACACACATTTAAAATACTAGCCCCGCACTCCTAATATTGGGACAGAAGAGAGTGATGTGGCTTTTAAGAAAAGTAAAATTATGTGGTTGATAATGAGTTGATAAAGTGAGAATAAAGTAAGAGTGAATTACAGTCACACAATTGTTACCAAATATGGTATGAGACAATAATAGTGGGACATCCAAATATGAAAAAAGGGACAAAGGACAATTATGCAGATCCAATATTGGTTAACAGGGGATACTTATCAGATGGAGAGCATGAGAAGGTAGTAAATCCATATTTATTCCTTGAATCCTGGTCTGATATCTGTGACAGAATAGATAAAATTGTCAAGAGTAAGGAAGGTGCTAATGCAGCTCAAAGGGAAGGCAATATCACATTTAATACTATCATTCAAAGTACAATTAATGGGGAAGAAACATTTAGTCTTCAAAAGACATCTATTGAGGGTAGCATGGAAGATGATGGCTTCGTCAAATTATCCAAAAAGGAAATAGGAAGAAAAATTCAGAAGACATCCAACCAAAAAGAATTACTAAGAGTGTAGCTAGGGGGAAAACTACTGAGTCTCAATGAATTGCTTATACTGGAACACTAGGGGACTGGAATCCTCTAGTTCCAATCTTAGTTCCTTAGTTATTAAATGGAGGGTACAAATTTTGGTTCTTATTGAGGCAATGGTAGACAGCAGCAACATTGACACTTACAAGCAAAATTTGGGCTTTGATTCAGCCGTCCATTCTTCTCTCATTAAACTTTGGATTTTTTGGGATTCTACTACTTTTTCCCTTTCTGACTTTTTATGGAGTGATCAGTTGGTTCATTTCAAAGTTTCAGGTTGTTCTTTTAATGGTTGGATGACAGGAATCTATGGGAAGCATAGCTACATTGATACAAGAGAACTATGGGAGTCTCTTTACTCATTTTCATGTGGTATGCATGAGCCATGGGTAATGGGGGAGACTTTAATGCAATAGCTAAATATAGTGAGCACACTGGTACTTCCTTACCTTTCATGTCACGCCCCGGACCTACCCGGACACATCAACAACCCGCCGTACAGTACGAATAGTCAACCGCAGTTCAACACATCCATACTATACAAGGCGTCTGGAATATCATTCACACATAGTACATGTAAGGAATAATTGTAATTAGATTTTGATGATGCTATATTAATTAGGATTTTAGAGTACCCCCTCTTTAGTATGTTGTATTAGAAATTTTCCTTTGTAAAAATTTCTTAGAATAGTCGACTGGCAGAAGACCTCCTGACAGAAGACCTCTAATAGACATGGTCCAGACAGAAGAGCTTTGGCCCTCTGTTGTACTTTATCCTGACAAAAGACCTTTGGGTCTCTGTCAGTTCTTACTCAGACAGAAACCCCCTGGTTCTTTGTTGGTCATCACTACAATAGAACTGTCAAGACTCTCTGTTGGTTCGCCCCTTGACAGAAGACCTCAGGACCCTCTGATAGCTTTCCCTAACAGAAGTGTTCAAGACCTTCTATGATAGACTCTCTGTTGATGACACCAGAAGCCCGGACACTTAAAGAATTTTCATGAAAGTACCCAAGCCGGTGAAACCATCTGAAGATTCCTTCAACGGCTAGAAGACTTCAACGGAAAAGCTACAGTACGTGCATTAAATGCACAATGCACATTTAATGCTTCCCGTACCCTGAAGAGTAAAAGCTGATGATTGGTCGACATTCTAGGTTATTTCAGGATAACTTTGTAACACCGTCCCCAAATGTATTTACCTTTAAGCGAATAATTTATTGAACCTTATGAAGTTTTTAGTGAATTTACGAAGTTGTGAATTTGTATTATATTTTTTCGCGTGAATAGTAAATTGCACGTGGGGCCCACATCGGGAGTGGGGACCGCCCGATATTATCGGGGCCACATATTATATTGATCTTGGACTAGATAATATGTATATGGTGGTGGATATCCTAGTTGAGCCATGACAATGGCATAGGGTTGACCGGTTGGTCAAACGGGGCCAAATTATCAGTATCGGCAATCTATCAGATAACAGCCCGAAAAGGGATTTCGGAGACTTCTAAATTAACATTGAGGGATGCATATTGATTCTAAGGTCCATTAAGAATTGGGAACAAGTGTTATATTTTATTTGACCCGATAAAATAAAATATACTTAAAAAGAGTCCGGAAAATACAACTTTCGGGGCAAATTGCACACATTGGGACAAAGTAGGATGACCTCCCACATGGGTGGGGGCCACCCCACGAAATTGTCAACCCTTGAGGGCTGGATGAGTGCCAAATTGGCTGAACAACAATTGAGAGGATGGGGGAGACACCTTTGACATGTAGTAGACCCCCTCCCTTCACTCATTTGTCTAAATGAGACAAAAACCACCCCTCTCACCTCACCATCTCCACCCACACAATTCATCACCCTAGGATAGCAAGGAGAGGCTCTGAAACTTCTCATCTCCATAGCCCAAATCCGAACTCAAGCTCAAGGGAGTCCAAGAAGGAAGTTTAAGAAGGAAGAAGCTAGGAAAATGTGTGAAAATTAAGGTAATGACCTTATCATAAATTTTCCTTTGTTTTTTCTTCTAGCATATAAGATATATATCATATGAAAGACCTTTAGTATTGTTCTACATGATTTAAGTGTGGAATGATGGGTTGGAAAGTGATTCTAAGTCCAAAAGCGGACTTAGAAGCCAAATCGACCGGTTTGCCGGAAAATAACCTTTTATAGGTTATTTGTGTTGATATGGGTTTTGTGATGATAAAACCTTGTTAGGAACTTGATTTAAAGTATTTTTGAGCCTCTCCGGAGTTTCGTCGGAGTTGGTCAAAGTTCGCCGGAGTTGGTCAAAGTTTGCCGGAGTTGGTCAAAGTTTGATTGAGAAACGTAGAACGCGCTTAAGCTTAATTAAGGTGAGGATGACCGACTATGTTACTTATAATCTTTGGGTTAATTTCCTAAGTGAATACAAATGTGATGTGTATGAGTTGTTAATGGTTACTAATGCCTAAATGAACTACTATTGATTATAAGTATAGTATGCATGATACACAAATTTATGAATAAATTGTGTATGTTTAGATGCTATGAATATGTGTGTATGATGGTTGTACCAACCATGAATATCATTTGAGATAGTATACTTTGATGCCATGAGGAGAAGCTATGAGAGTATGAAAGTGATACTTGATATTAAGGCCAATTGGGCAAGAAGAAAGAATTATTTTGAAATAAATAAATAACTAGCATTGAAATATTAGTTGGAAATGTTAGTTGAGAAATGGATGAATTAGATCCTAAGAATTTGAATTATAAAGAATCGGTGATTATGAGCCGGGCTCAAGACCGATGTAGATAACGGTGATTATGAGCTGGGCTCTAGACCGCAGTAGATGACGGTGATTATGAGCTGGGCTCTAGACCGTAGTAGATGACGGTGATTATGAGCTGGGCTCTAGACCGTAGTAGATGACGGTGATTATGAGCTGGGCTCTAGACCGTGGTAGATGACGGTGATTATGAGCGGGGCTCTAGACCGTAGTAGATAACGGTGATTATGAGCTGGGCTCTAGACCGTGGTAAATAATGATGAATTGATATTAAATGAACGGATTAACTATAATGTAATAATGCTCTAGTTTGAGGGCCTCGGAGATTTAAACTTTGATTATACTTGGTATAGTTGTCATTGTACTTGTCAAATGCTTCCAAGTACTGACCTCCCCTTCACGGGGGAGGCCACCTCACAGTTTCAGGTAGAACTTGAAGGTTGCTACCACCCGCCGCTGCTTCGGGAAGTTTCTGAGGAGAAGACTTGGTTCGTGCTTCTCCCGTTCTTGTTTCGAAAAAACAATATGAATAATGCTCATGGATAATATTTTCTGAATAATTACTTTGGGGGCTTGCATGCCTAATTATGCCAGTTGTGGCTTGAACACTTGTATCAATTGAACACTTGATAGGGGATCAAGAGGAAGGGGCCGTGGAGGCCAACGTCAAACCGTGAGCGATGGCCACGTTGATACCGAGAGTGAGACCTATTGGTCCTATGAGGACTCAACTTACCAGCCGGGGACTGAGCCAGTTGAGACCCCGTACGAAGGGAGTGATGATGATGTGAGTGATGAGGAGGAAAGTTGCTCCTTGGCCAGAATCGAAGCGCTGCTCCAACAGTATCATCGGGAGCGCGAAGAAAGGAGGGCACGCCGAAGGCACCGTGCAGGGCAACCTTCGGGCGGGGCTCCAAGAGGGATGAGTATTTGCGATTCGAGAACCCATGTGGAAGCGCATGGGAGTCGGGGCGATGGAGGTCCAGCCATAAGGATCTCCAAATACATCAAGGAGGCGAGGGACATAGGGTGCAAACCGTTCGACGGGACGGGAGACATCTCGGTTGCCGCCCAGTGGATCAAGAGGTTGAACGAGGCAGCCCTTGACATGCAGCTCACCCCCGATTTTAAACTGAGAATCGCGGTAAGGTTACTCGAGGGGTTGGCATCCAAATGGTGGGATGGAACCAAGGGTAAGTATGGCGGAACTGTTACATGGGAGGATTTCCGACAAGAATTCTTTGCCCAGTACTACTCTGACTTCGAAGTAAACGCTAAGGTAAGGGAATACACTCTCCTAACCCAAGGCGGTAACATGACGGTGAAAGAACTTGAGAACAAGTTCAGAGACCTTGCTGATCACATACCGGAGTATGCTTGTGATGAAAACCGAATGGTGAATCACTTTTGGGAGGCCTTGGACTTGGAGATACGTGACAGGGCAACTCAATTGCCCAATATGACTTTCAGCCAAGTGGTTGCCCAAGGGTTGAAGG